AAAAAAAAACATAGAAAAAATTTTAAAAATGCACTTTCTGTTTCCCTCGTTAGCAAAAACAGCCGATTGTCAATCTACCGCGCTCCAACTAAGGATGCCGGCGCGCCACGTTCTTGTTAATTTGTGCTACGAATAGGCTATAAAAATGCTAAGTTTTCTGGGAAGAGGACGTCTCAAAATCTGCACCAGTTTAGACTCAATTTGGGAAAAGTTTGTTTATGAGCAACTTCTCATAGGTCAGGTAAACCTACATCGTGGTTATTTGCTCAGTTGTCGATGAAATTCGTACTCAATAAGTTACACACGATCTTGTAGCATTTACAAAAATTTTAAACAAGCAGACGGTCAAATTACCAGTTGAATTGTCAATAAAGAAACTTACCTGATAGAATGGGATGCTGATTGTAGTCCCAGATGCATTCACGACTCTCCTATTGCGCATACATACTAGGAAAAAGCTTAACCACTTTCTGAAAAGAATAATTCATTGCACAATCGAAAACCTCTGTGTATTTTAAAAAACCTATAGTAAAGGATAAAAAGTGCTTTCATCACCTTGAAACGTTGCCCACTCAAGTTGTTTTTATGCTATTTCTATCACTGGATAAAGGTTACTGTGAAAGAGCAAAAAGAATTTTGATGCAATCCCATCAATCAAATCTCCTCCCCCCTCCTCGTTACATTTCTAAATAAATTATCACACTAAAACGCACATGGCGGCAGCGCATCGGCTGACGCCTTTGGACCGCTGCGTATGGAGCGCCTTCATAAACCCGTCGCATCGTAGTCCCCGCGATTATGTGAGAAGCTTGTGAACGCCTGGGGTTTGTGCTCTTAGACCGACTTCAAATTTGGGCTGACTGGCTTGTGTGCACGACGAACGTACACCCGATGCGTCGTGGTCTGCGAACATTTGAAGCTTAAACAGCACCAGCAACGTCAGAAATCTGATACTGTAATTCTTTTATTAGTGACGTCTAGTTTGAAAGAATATCTGGAGATACTCATCACATGCAACTACTGTTCTGAAAATGCCCGTGAAAAAAGTTCTAAGTTTCCTTCATTTTTCGAACATTTCTGCAATCAATGATGCAAAAATTCTAGTACATAACAAAGGAATAAATAATGAGAACTTCCATTTGAATTTTGGAAAAAAAGAGATACTTTAGCGCAGACAGAGCAAGCAAAATCAATGAAAGGCTAGAATTAGTGGTTCAGCACTTGCGAACAGATTTTTTCATTACAGCCAACACTGTTCTTCAATTACGTGCACGCAGTTCAATGCGTCATGTTGATGGCTTTGACCGACCATCGGGTTGTATAGCTTTTTTTCAAAACAACTTCAATACAGTCCTGAGAATGTAACTCTTCAGTCAAAAAAATACATGACTTTGCACATTTATAGGCGAAATTTTATTTGCACGGATAATTTATTGATCATATGAATCTGTAGTGAAATGTGTACACCGACGTCAGATAGCTATTGTAAGAGATGACGGGTAATGGATTCTGGGTGCTGTTGTAGACTTTAACCTGCATTTCTGTGCAGCACAATCTAAAAAACAACAGGTTGTTCTGACATACTGTCCACAAAAGCGTTTGCAATACAGACCTACGATTCGTAGCCCTTGGATCGTCTCCTACTTTAGGCTCAATAGCATTGAATGCACAACCAAGTATGCACTGAGGATTTTCAATGTAAGTTACTCGCCACTGGATTTGTTTATCAGCTGGGGCCTAAAACGATGTAAGTTGTTAATAATAGAGAGTGGCGAACCTCGGTTTACCTCTATCCAGTGGTTGCATTTCATGAAATTAGGGCGAAGTGTAGTGTCCACAGAATT